CCTGGCTGGATTGTGCTCTCTCGTAGTACAACTTTAGTACTGGACATGCCTCGTTTCGGCTCCTGGCTGGATTGTGCTCTCTCGTAGTACAACTTTAGTACTGGAAATGCCTCGTTTCGGCACCTGGCTGGATTGTGCTGTCTCGTAGTACAACTTTAGTACTGGAAATGCCTCGTTTCGGCTCCTGGCTGGATTGTGCTCTCTCGTAGTACAACTTTAGTACTGGAAATGCCTCGTTTCGGCTCCTGGCTGGATTGTGCTGGCTTGTAGTACAATTTTAGTACTGGAAATGTATCGTTTCGGCTCCTGGCTGGATTGTGCTCGCTTGTAGTACGACTTTAGTACTGGACATGCCTCGTTTCGGCTCCTGGCTGGATTGTGCTCGCTTGTAGTACAACTTTAGTACTGGAAATGCCTCGTTTCGGCACCTGGCCGGATTGTGCTCGCTTGTAGTACAATTATTTAGTACTGGAAATGCTTCGTTTCGGCTCCTGGCTGGATTGTGCTCGCTTGTAGTACAACTTTAGTACCGGAAATGCCTCGTTTCGGCTCCTGGCTGGATTGTGCTGTCTCGTAGTACAACTTTAGTACTGGAAATGCCTCGTTTCGGCTCCTGGCTGGATTGTGCTCTCTCGTAGTACAACTTTAGTACCGGAAATGCCTCGTTTCGGCTCCTGGCTGGATTGTGCTCTCTCGTAGTACAACTTTAGTACTGGAAATGCCTCGTTTCGGCTCCTGGCTGGATTGTGCTCTCTCGTAGTACAACTTTAGTACTGGAAATGCATCGTTTCGGCTCCTGGCTGGATTGTGCTCGCTTGTTGTGCAAAATGACGTTATCGTTTTTTTCCTCCTTATCGTTGTACAAGTCAAACGCATCATCGCGAACACCGCGGGCAAGTGCTTACATAAATCGACCACGCGGGGTTAAGCTAGCGAAAGAGCTACAACTAGAGCTAAAGCCTGGAGCTGAAGCTAGAGCTGGAGCTAGGGAGAAAGCTACAACTAGAGCTGGGGCGGGGGCAGGAGCTGGAACTAGAGCTACAGCTAGGGCGAGAGCTACGAGTAGAGTTGGAGCTGGAGCTAGAGCTAGGGAGAGAGCTACAAGTAGAGCTGGAGCAGGAGCTGGAATTAGAGCTAGAGCTAGAGCTAGGGAGAGAGCTGCAACTAGAGCTACAGCTGGAGCTAGAGCTGGAGCTAGCCAGAGCCAGGGAAAGAGCTACAACTAGAGCTAGAGTTTAGAGTTAGGGAGAGAGGAGAGAGCTACAACTAGAGCTAGATCTAGAGCTGGAGCAGGAGCTGGAGCTAGAGCTCGGGAGAGAGCTACAGCTAGAGCTACAGCTGGAGCTCGGGAAAGAGCTACAACTAGAGCTAGAGCTGGAGCTGGAGCTAGAGCTCGGGAGAGAGCTACACCTAGAGCTACAGCTGGGGCTAGAGCCAGAGCCAGGGAAAGAGCTACAACTAGAGCTAGAGCTCGGGAGAGCTACAACTAGAGCTGGAGCTTGACCTAGAGCTCGGGACAGAGCTACAACTAGAGCTAGAGCTAGACCTCGGGAGAGAGCTACAACTAGCGCTGGAGCTGGAGAGGTGGGCGAGAGCTGGAGAGAGCTACAATTATATAGAGCTGGAGCAGGAGCTGGAGCTAGAGCTCGGGAGAGAGCTACAACTAGAGCGAGGGCTGGAGCTAGAGCCAGAGCGCGGGAGAGAGTTATAACTAGAGCTGGAGCTAGAGCTCGGGAACTAGATCTGGAGCAGGAGCTAGAACTAGAGCTCGGGAAAGAACTACAACTAGAGCTGGAGCTAGAGCTCGGGAGAAAGTTAGAACTAGAGCTAGAGCTGCATGGAGGCTGGAACTAGAGCTAGGGAGAGAGCTACAACTAGAGCTAGAGGTGGAGCTGGAACTAGAGCCGACGACAATATGTACGCCATGTGCTTTGCCGCCGGTTGCGACCGCAACAACAGCTTCTACAGATGCAAGAGCGAGGAGTGTGGATGGGTAGGAGGGTGGAAGGGGGGGTGGAGAAGGGGTCCCAAGCGGGTGCCTGTGCGAACAGATACGAACACAGACGCACACACACATACACACAACGCAAACGCA